AGCGAGCGAGAGCGAGCGAGAGCGAGTGAGCGAGAGAGAGCGAGAGCGCTGCGCCTCACACATCTAAATGTGGGGGGGGGGGAATTCACTCAACGAAAGCTATACATCTTTCGCGAAGCTTAATTAGACTATCTATGTTCTTGCGGGGAAGTGAGGAGAATGGCCTGATCTGTGCGTCACAACGAGATGGATGTTGTTTGGTGCTGCACCGCTCCTGAAAAGTGAACCTGTGAATACTTTTTTTTGTGAACGCGGGGAAGTACCCGTCTTCGTGAGTTGCATACGTGTCGGTTACAGTGTTGCTTCCAAAAAAGGTGGACTCCCATAACTGGCAGCCCTCGATAGTGAAACCTTACAATTAGTCCGGTACTCAGTGTGATGCTATTGTTGTCAGAATACTGCCAGCCGTAGATTTCAGCAATTGGGGGCATGGTTGTTGCAGGGCGGGATAAAGTTCGTGGAAGGGGGTTTTGCAACAACCAGCCACTCACGCTCGAACCGTCCGCAGGAGTGAATATCTAAAGACCCCAATGCCCCTGCCCTCACCCAGATAGGGACGGGGGCGCCTTGGCGCGGGCCTGTGCGAGCAGACCTGGACCCGAAACCAAGCAAGCAAGCAAGCAAGAGAGACGGGGAAACCCCTTCACCCTAGCCCTGGCGAAAGAGACAGTGAGAGAGAGAGAGAGACTCGCTGGTGTTGGCTTTGCTACCCTGGTAATGGTCCGTGACGTTAGGTGCCTGGAGAAAGCGGTGACATGACTTATTTTGAACTAAAAATATCTCCTGAAAACTCGATGTCCAATCTGTGTCATTTCACTGTCCCTACAAAGCCCCATAACTTTTGGGGGGCCGATAGGCCGGGGACCTCGATGGTCCCCTAAGCTCTGTGCAAGAACACTCGTAGGTGGGTTGGGGGACTGCCCTCACCCCATGCCCCAAGAAAGTATGGACACTCGCGTTACAGCCGAGGTCTAGTGGTCAAATTGCTAGCGAAACAAAATAAGTGTGTGCAAAATTGTAGGGGCGAGGGAGACGGGTATGTTGGCGGGTAGCGCATTACGCAGGGCGTGCATTCCGTTGATGAAACACGGTTACATGAGCTGCGAGCCGAGCGATCGAGTCCATTTGCCCAGGCGCTTGCTGCTGCAGCCTGCGCTGAGGCCTGTGCGGCTGCATTGATCCTGAATGTCGTCACACAGGGCAGTGAGCTCTCTCTCCTGCAGGATTATCAGCTGCACAGCAGCGTTGATCTTCAATCCGCTACAATCGCGCTCCGTGACTCACGTGTGTGCAGATCAGGTTGCCTTCGAAGCAGCCGCTGGAGCAGTGGAAGCAGCCTCAGTATGCCTCAGCTGTCCAGTTGCAAATGCCACCGGCCAAGCAAGTGCCCAAGAACGCACCACAGTCGCGGACAGTACTGTACCTCAACCATGTGTTTCACATGTTCAGTTTCAAGGTCGAAGTCGCGTCCACCCAAATGACGGAGGAAGAGCGAGAAGCATTGCAAGAGAAGGCGGCGAAGGACCTGCGCCACGTTTGCAGTCTCAGGTTTGCACGGTGCCCGTGCTGCAGCAGTTAAATCACTGACTACTGCGTGGTGTTCAGCCGCAAACTGAGTCGCAGCTTCGAAATTTCCACCTCAAGAAAGGTTGGCTTGTTCACGGCAGTGGGTCACCGGAGTTTCAGATGTTCCGCCCGTGTGTGTGGAGCTTCATTTTCCAGAAGTCAGTCGCTGTTACTGTGGCTAAGCCTTCGTTTGACGACTCGACTTCTTACGGGGTCGGCATCATGAAGTGATTGCTGACGTCGTTGCGATCCTCTGGAGCGTAACTTTGAAAGTTGTTGCAGAGAAAGCGGTTTCAACTTCGAGCCGTTCGAACACGTTTGGTTGGAATTAGACCTGCACACACAACTGGAAGACTTGCGACAGGAGCGCGCGGCCAAGGCAATCTGGGATGTTGCTGAGAGATGCTGTGGCGCTGCAAGTAACTATCCGTTCGAGCCCTTCAAGAACTGAGCGTCTTGTCCTGTAGCGGCTGTAGTTACACTGCTGCCGCTGCTTTTAGCACCATTTGTTTGACCACTACGGGGCCAAGCATTCTGACATGAGGGCATGCTTCAGATATCAAACCTGTCGTCAGGAGCAGGCAGAAGCAGCAGTGAAGAAGGCTGCGGAGGCTTTACAGGCGGGCTTCTTCACTGCTGAAGCAAATGATGTTGTCACGCAGATGACCCCTGTTTGCCTGCTTTGCAGCCGTTTACAAAACCACTCGATTTTTTTCTGAAATCTTCATCTTTGACTTCACTTCCGAGGCTGCAAAGCAGAGAGCCGAGGAGCCTCGAGCTCAGAAGTGTTAGAAACTGGGATATAGTACAGTATACTACAGTATAGTATAGTATACTACAGTATACTACAGTATAGTATAGTATAGTATAGTATAGTATAGTAGATTATAGCCATAGTATAGGTCCCAGGTTTCTTCTGCTTCCACGCTGTTGCGAAGCGGAGATCCAGCGAGCCGGAGCCGCTTCGCAACGCGCCGGGACACGGATACGAACCGACATGAGCAAAGCAGAGTCAGATGCAAACGTGACTTTCGGATTGGTTTAAAACAATCCCCTGGCTGCGTTCTTCGATCGACTTCCCGTCGCCCAAGAGGCATGTCTTGCTTCCGGAAAGAGATGCTAGCTGCTGCTAGCTGTCCTCACCATCCCGAGGGCAGAGAATCAAAGCCGTGAAGCAGCAATCTCAGCTCAATTCAAGGCGCAACTGCAAATGAGCGTAAATGCTGTCCGACATTGGTGGGCCTGAATTCATCGATGCAGGACACGTCTGACTGGCTTTGTCCGGAACATTGCTTCAGTAGACTGTAATCTTTCCGAAGAGCTCATGGGGGGCCGCCTCGGGGTCGCACTGTAGGATCTAGCTCTGCTTCTTGCAGGCCTTGGGCAAGCTGTCGCGGGTCCAAGCTGCATATGCAACTTTGGAGGAGAGGCTAAAAATCCAGGAGGAGGCTGGCATGGCTGGCATTCGGGCTCTTCTGCCAGAGCTTGGAGTTAGGCTGCTAGGCTTCTTGCCTCCCTCTGCCTCTGGGCCAGGCAACCGTGCAAGCCTCGAAGCGAGAGGAAGAAGCGGCGAGTCGCGGCTGCAGTGTTTTTTTTTGCCCGTGGCCATGATATTCTGACAAGGTGCAAGGCGATCAGATTCTGTCATTGCCATTGGAGATGGGCCATTTGGCAACACTCTCTTCTCAGGAAGCGGGAGGAACAGCTTGCGACACTTGTGGCGGCAAAGGCACTCGCCAAAGAGGCAGCACACCGGATGTAAAGGACACAGCCAGTGCCATGCATGCCGATCCCCTGGCACAGTCGGCGACGGCAGGTGAATCGTCGCAACCGCGCTGCGCAAACTCTACTTGCCATCGAGCAAGAGACTGGCTCCGAGAAGTGGAGGTCCCAGATTTAGGCCCTTCGAAAGCTAAGTCAGCATCATATACTCACGCAGCCTTCATGCCAGGCTAGCGCTCGATGTGCTCGGCGACGGTCCAGACCAACTCAGGCGCAAAGTGGATATGTTCAAAGAGCCTAAACGGTCAGACCGGTCAGACAGCGGCAAAAGATAGTAGGAGAGGCTGACGGGATAGAGCGGCTGTCGTAGAGCCAAGACGTTATCGGACAATCAGTTTGCGCATCATAAAAGCTATGCTTGTTGAGGCTCGTACTGCAACATCACTACTTATAGAACTTAGTCGTTCTGGGCCTTCGTCGTTGCGTGTCGGCCGGAAGACTGTTCCCATCCGTTGAACTCATCAAAACCCCTTAGTAAGATTAACTGTTGGGGGGTAAGCTTGTCGGCACACCAGCCGTTAGGCATGGTCTGCGGGCTGGAAGTTATTGAGTTCCAAGCACTACGGTAACTGGCGGGCACGGGGTGTATTGCATGCCTCCTCTTCTTCCCAATACTGTCCTTCCTCAGTGCGTAATCCGTTGAGGCCGCTGAACCCAACAAGCCTTGGCGGTGACCCCGCACATCGCTGCCAGGTCAGATGTGCGCTTGGAAATCGCCAGGTTAGCAACACAATGGCTTGCCCAGTTCAGGCCGCCGAAATTTGGGTGACATTGTTTGCATGCCACTGGACATGGAATGCACAGAACGTGTTAATCTCGCCGTTGAATGTTCATGTACTCACGCCGAACAGCATGAAGAGTACTTCGGCAATTGGAAGCTTAGACCCTGTCTCCGCCCACCGCAGCAGTTCTTTCTACACTCTCTGCAGCACTTGTCAGCGATGCTGAGCAGCATCATCCTTCATTGCTGCTGCCTAACCAGCTCAAATGCAGCGTGAGTGTATGTGAGTGCGACAACCCCAGACGACTCGGGCCAGCAGGCGATCACCGCTACCTCCGCAAGCGGTGGTCAACGAAGAAACCCCCCCCCGGATAGCCCGTGTAAACGTACCTCTGTCCCAACCCTCATTGCACCGGTGGCCGTCGTGGCAGCTCGTGGATTACACGGCTTTGCCACCTCTAAACATGGCTGTCCTGACATGATATTGACCATGACCCTCCTGCCAGGCTGCAAGAAGGGGAGGAGTCGTTGCAGGCCTTGCGGAAAAGTACCAAAGCTCAGCGTCGAAGATGCCAATGTTTCCACAAGTATCTGATTTTCAGGAGTCCGTCGGAAACCACACTCTTTCGGCCATGAAGGACTGGGTATTGCGCTGTGGGCAGTGGTCGCTAGAAGTCCTTTTGCCGGGTCAGCAATTGGCAAGCGGCAACAACCGTCGAGTGGATGTGGGCCTCAGCGCACCACCCGATGAGATTCAACAGGTTCTCACGCACCCAAACCCTTGCTGACCTCCAAGCTTCGGAGGACTTCGTGGATGGCTCGGTTGGATGCTAAGTTCTGCAGAGTACTGGGAGTTACTTGCCAGCGGTGTCGCAGTTCGATTGGGTTATTTTATGCCAGAGCTCTGTTGCAACCTTGAGCTCTCTCTCTCTCTCTCTTTATTTCTGCCTCTTCTCTATGTGTACCGTTGAATATCTTGTGTATCTACACGGCACACGGATATTCGCAGAAAAGTGCACGCACAGTTGTTGGCTCGGTTAACATGAACTTAAGCTGACAGCAATGCCATGTGACGACGGTTTCGTCGTAAAGCGACACATCAAGCATATTCTTTAGTACGTTTATGCATACAGCCCAGATCAAGACATCATATACACATAGAGTACCTAGACAAAAAGACATTAAAGACACGCAGATAGTCAGAGCTTTTTGTATGTCAATGATCTCTGTCTGCTCCTGCTGCCGCCTGGCTTCTAGCTTATGCAGTGTAGTCGGTGCGCGCGCGGCAACAGCAGCATCCATGGAGGTGCCCGGGAGCTGAACAGCAAGTCTGAATTCAACAACAGAAGACGCGGGCTATCCCTGTCGTACGTACTGCAATTGGGGTCATGGCTGAAAGGGCTGCAAAAACAGAATCTCAGTGCTGACAAGAATCTGAAAACGCTGCAAAGAAACCGACACCAAAGTGGTCCGCATTGCGAGTGACAGCGTGAGATATGGTGGGCGTGATACTAACATTGACATGTACTTGCAATTCGGCTGTCTGTGGCATATCTGCAGAGGTTTAGCAAAACCGTTGAACTCCCTCCTTTTTCGGCCCCCCCCCCACTTCAAAGAGAGCATGTTCAGGACACGCCTGCTGCAGCGGAGCATGGTTCCGCCGTCAGGCCTGGCTTGAACCGAGTGAGTCCTATCAGAAAATGCGGCATCGCAGCAACGATCCACATCAACACACAACAGACTGGGACCGAAGATGAGGTCATACAGACTGCTAACCGTCTATGAACTGATTGAACTGCTCGAAGCAGCACAATGTTCCATCGCAAAGACGTCTCACACAGTGTCACACGCGCATGTTGTATGAGTTTGCACCCAGTTGAAGGATAGCTCATATCACACCTGAAAGCTTGCGCAAGGGTCAGTTTGCAGCCAGAAGGTCTTCCAGCGAGAAGCCGTCACCGCATCCGAAGCGGCCCCGTGTCTCCTTCACGACAGCAGCCTGTCTGCGAAAATCTACCTCTCCGGGCACTTCATGGGTTTTCTTAGTTCGATCAGTGCATCCAGATCGATCTGAAACCACGTTATTTGCAAGTACGCAGCATTCGAACTCCGTTCTGGAGCGCGGTAGCCTTCAGAACGACGGCTCATGCGTCACAGGTGAGCATGCGGACTTTCAGCGATGGCGACGTGCAGGAGCTTTCAAGTCCAAAGGAGCGAGCTTCTCGACGAGCGATGTTGAAGCTAGTCGCCTCAAGGGCTGATGGGAGCAATTTACCTTGTGCTTTTTTGCGATTGAGCTTGCCGCCGCTTGCCTGCTCCCAAGCTGCCAGATACTCCTTACGGCTGCAGTGATGGTGCCCGAATGCATCCCAGGCACTGTCACCCATCCTGGATGGCTGTGCCGGTACGGAAGAGGGCGATCTGTCGGGCGAGGTCTGGGCTTTCAGAACTTGTCTTGTCGATTTTTGTTTGTCATCCCGAAGTGGCTCTCAGGTTTTGAAGCGATGACAGGGGGTAGACAGCAGCAGTTGATCCGAAAGCTTGGGTTGCAACAGCTCTCGTTTCGAAAGCTGCAGCCAAGGTCACCGCCAACGTGGAGAGCCTGCTGCAGTCTCAGAATTCTTAGTGACTAGAGGAGGTGTTCGGAGGTCCTGATTTGTAGTAGGGACCTTAACAGATCAATTAGCATAGCATTTTGAGGTATGGTATAGTGTATTTCTATTAACCATACTAAGGAGCCCTGGGAAATGATATTGGCAATGGTTCATACTTTTGGGGAGAGACGTTCGAAGACTGAGGTCCCGACTGGTACTCGAGGATGAGCTCGATGACGCAAGGACCGCAACCTCTAGCTTCAGGAAAGCATGCCTCTCAGACACCTAGCATGTCCGATGAGTTTGTTGATGCTGTGATCCACTGTCGCGTCTGCCCAATATTAGATGCTGTGAAGAAATGCTGTCCAAAGTTCAACGTGTCACCAGCAAGGTCCTTGTACGCTGCAAAGTGTTCCCAACAGAGGCATGATTTGGTAGATCTTTCCGCGCTTCCCTCTGCCAGGAACACGCACGCTGATGCGGAGATGAAGCCGCCACTCGAAAGCCTTCCCGAGCAACCGGTATTGAAGGTGGGACAGGACACGCCAGTGCGGACGCCAACCACCGAGCAGGAGACTTCGCCACTTCCAGAGAGCTGGGACCTCTACAAGCAATTCAAGGGCAGACTCTCTGCGCAACTTGATATGCTGTTCTTTTTTGTATGTGTCAAAGGTCTTTCTGCCCTACAGGGCAGCACATAATCTGCAGTAGTCTTTTCGACGCGACCGGACGAGCTGAGGCCAGGCTGCGCTGAACAGCCAGGGTATGACGGCGAGTCAGGGTCTGGCGAACAGTGCGCCTGGAGCTACGCCGAGTATGCCGAGCGTGGCAGCTGCACCTGTTCCGAGAATGAGTCCCGAAGTGAAATCGGCCGCTCCGATCTCCACGCGGAAGTTCAGCCCGGAGCAGCTGCTGCAGAAGGGCGGCCGGGGAGCTGCGGCAGCCGCTTCCCTCCGGGCGACGACAGCAGCACCGGCACCTCCCTTGCCATCTTTCTCCAGCAAGGTCTCAATCAACTCTTCTCCGAACAATGCCTTCAACAGGGGCCGGTCTCCAGACACGGTGGACATGAGCGGCGTTGTGAAGTCCATCCAGATGGGCCCCATCAGCCGTGGTGGTCCTGATGAACAGGAATCCGAGGTGCCAGAAGGCCGCAAGTCCTTCGCTCCCTGGCTGAGGATTGCTGTTGCATGCCGCATCATGTTTTGGGGGTTCCGACTTACTTGGGCCTGGGCTTCTTCGAAGGCCACGTTTCAGAGCACCGAGCCTTGCCCAGAGCTCTTTGCCCTCAAGCAGGTGGGCTCCTGGGCTCTCGCAATTTCTTTGGGACCGGCTGCGCATTTTATTCGAGGGGTCTGTGCGGGAGCGCAGTCACCTTTCCTGATTCCTGTGCTACTGTAGCACCGTGGAGTTCCAGAGCAGTCTGCGACTCCAGCACTCTTGGCTTTGCCAGGCCTCACGTCGGTTGCAGGAGCCGAAAAACCTCAACTGGGCCATGCGCCGGCACCAGCATCACAGGAGCCGAGACGGTCATGTTGAGCTCTTGTGGGAATTTAGCTTTGGGTGTGTGGCGCCGATGGAATAGGCACCTGTCACATCTCCAGGAGTGACCTGAACAGCTCAGCCGAGCGGTTCCGTGAGATGCGAGACCAGGCCTTGAGGGTTTGCCGGCCCTTCCGGCAAGCTATGAGTCAGCGACGCTGGGATCCGACCATTCCACCGACAACCTGGATAACCCGGGCTTGGTTCTCCTCCCTTTTGGTTTGGGATGTTTCGACAGCTGCGATCTCTCAAAACGAAGCTTGTGCAGCGACAGGTGATGAAAGCCACGGAAGATGATCAGCAGATGATGGCACAGAAGGTTCTCCTGACTATCTCCGGTTTTGCTTCAGTAGTTTTTGGAGCTCGGCTGTGGATAGATGCTACATGCTAGTTCACGCTCCTACTTGTTCCGATTATATCCATGCAGCTCTTGTAGGAGTGAGTGTGCCAGGCCGAAGAAGCAAGCCGAGATTTGCAGATGGAAGAAGCGGGTTTGCAGGAGCTGGAGAAGAAGGCCGGGCCTGCCATGAATCGATGACTATGACTGCTGAATACTGCTGATGTCCTTGCCGGCATCTCAAGAAACGTTGCTGTTCCTGTTGCAATGGCCGTTTGCATCTGGGTCACCATCAAGAATTCTGCCACTGCCATTGTTGAAGCGACGGCGTGAGTCTGGTTCAGACAAGCATCCGACAGATCCTAGATTCATCCTGGATCCTGCACTTCGACAAGCCGAAATCTGCCAGAGTATGCTCTTGGAAGCCAGCCTCATGGAAGTGAGTCCTCGGGAAGTTAACGCATCTGCCAGGTGGAAGCCGCGCGCCAGTCCGTGGAAGGAAGTCGCAGCGCGCTAAAAGAGGCCAAGTCTGCCTTCCGGTACAGCGCTAGGCTGCTAGGATGTACCGCCTGGAGTTTCAGGCTCAGGTTTTTCGGCCTTGGAAGATGAGTCTCAGGCTTCTCAGGCTCGGCTTCGATGAGATCAGTCCAGCACGAGAACCATGACTTGGCAGCACACCCTCCGTACACTTAAGCCGTAAGCCGTCAACCTTCCGAACTTTCGGAAGACTGCGAGGCGAAGCACCGTCTGCTGCAGACGAAGGCTAGGCGCGTCGCCCTCCAGCTGCGCAGCAGCAAATTTGGATTGAAGCGTGCGCTTCACAACCATTCGGAGCCGCAGGGGAGGGTCAGGACAGCAGTTTTTCAGTTTTTGACATAGTACGAAGCCTGTACACGTCAATGTGGTCAGAGACTTAAAGGGGCTGGGCACACAATGTCAGCTAAGACCCAGGCAGGCCCACTATGCACGCACCTGCCTGGTGACACGAGCTACAGAGGCATTCCGCAGCTGCTTTGCGCAGGTTTTTGGTAAGGAGAAGATTAGATGGAATTTCATTGAATCGTGCGTCCTTGCTCGCAGTTGGTGGGACTGTGGAGGCTCAAATTGACATTCGGTTGCGCGGCGGCGCCACCGCGACGATCTCGATGGTCTCTTGGCAGTATATCGCTTGTGCCCACACCTCTGCCCGATGCAGATGCCCCCCACCCTGACCTGCATGAGACAGTTGCGATGCATTATGTGCATTGACTGTCAACAGCTAGGTCAGCTTACAACGTGACACGAGGCTTCCGAGCGCCATCAAGCACACCTCTCCTTGTGTCTGGGAGGAGCCATGGCCGAGGCTTGTCGAGGGTTTGATAAATCACGCCGCTGTTGCAAGCTTCAAGCGATGACAAACTGGTAAAAAGTTGCGACAGACCCATCGGGTTCCAGCGAGGGTGCTGGCAAAGCATGCGCTATCATGCGTTTGACATGGCAGCGGTGGGTTTGTGGGTGATTTGTGTATCCGGTCGCAGAGGTCCAGAAGTCTTGATCTGCTGATGTTGGTCCGTGTTTGTCTTAAAGTTTGGAGAGCTCTGGTGTTCTGCCGCGACAGGCCTTGGAGGGAGCTTGGCAGGACGCTTGCGCCTCGATGCCCAAGGAGCTCGACAAGGCTACGCAGAGCCCCAATGCGCCCAGTAGGGAACTGTGGCGCTAACAGCGACAGGCTTCTTTGACTATGTTATCTCCGATGTATTTTGTTGGCTCTTCTTCCCATGGCCCTGCCTCGTCAGGTGGACGACTGCGGCACCTGCAAGGATGTCGTCTTGTCCACCTCGCAGGTACACTGTCACAGTCATCTCCGGCTCGTCTGCTCGGGATAGGCTTTTTTCTACTATCTTCTTAATCGAATCCCTCAACTTGTTGAACCTGAAGCTTCGACGAGCCAGTAGTCACCTACGCTTTGTCTTACCGCCAGCTGCCAACGCTGCTCCGGCACCTGGATGTCGCAGCCTTGAAGGCACAGCTGTCGAAGCCAGGCCAGACAACTGTGCACCCGGTCCAACTGCATTTCCCTAAACTGAACCCCTGATGAACGACTCTTCCTTTTTTCTCTTCACAGGTCGGAGTGAGCCTTGCTGGGCAACTTCGCCGCTCATCTGAAGTCTCATCTGCAGCATTCCTGCGGTCCAACCGCATTGCTGAAGTCGGCCACGCAATACTCGTCTCAACAGTTGCTATTACCATGTATGATGCTGCCGAGAGTTCAAAGCTTCAGCAAAGGCAAGAAGTGGTGTGTGACTGCGTTTACTGCAGACCTGCCAAAGTCTTGTAGACCAATTCGGATGGCACGAACATAATTCAGCAACTTGAGTGCTGGTCGACTCTGGAACGCTCCCTCATGGGAGCCATAGCCGGTGCACGTCTTCAATTAAGAATGCATTTGACACGCGCCACAGGTAGTCCAACTGGCGACTTAAATGTAGGCCACCTCTTTGCTCGACTTCTACATTCCAGAGTGTTGAGGCATATCCATTCTTACAGGCTGAGACCGCTACTGGAAGAAGTCGCTACATGGGCTGCCTTCCTCGTGGCCTTTGACTCGTCTGCGCCGCAGAAAAGAAGGGAGTACATATCGGCAAGCGGCACAAGAGCCCAAGGAGTTCGGAAGGACAGAGACTCCTCAATAAAGACACATTCGCGCATGCGCAAAGGATCGTACCTCTCAGTCATCAGAAGGACAGGTGTGATAGATGGACTCGCCTGGGTATTCGATGAAGTAGTTTGCGTCCAGCCGTGACAGGCTCAGTTTACGCGGCCTTCGAGACGAGAACAAGTTGGATCAACCTGTTCGTTCACGTCCTTGTCATGCTCGTAAAGTCTTTGGACGTCTCTGCTGGAAGGACTCATCCGATTCTGCAAAACTCTTTATGCCGAGAAGATCATTGAGTAGATGACTTCCGTTGCTTAATTTTGCTTGGAATGACTGTTATGGAAATCTGCGTGACTCCACCAAACATAAGGCAGTATGAGGAGAAAAATTGATGTTGGAGATGGGAGCGAAGCACGGCCTCAGCACGACACGAGATGCAATGGCATGACTCATATGAGGGCACCTTCCGAGACTAAAAAACTGCTCACTGCACCTCTCAAGGCAGGCGGCAGATAAGTGCCCAGCCCGACAGAGGCGGAACATGTTGCTTGCCTTTCTCCGGTGTTCCAAATTGCATCGGATCCTACAGTTTTTTGCGCCATGGGGCGAGAAGAGTTTTCAAATCTGGAGCTCTTGCCCACGCCCAGCGAGAGAGAGAGAGAGAGAGAGACAGAGAGACATTTCGCTCGCAGCGGCTTAAGGCTTATTCTCGATAGATTCGGGGACTGGCTCCACAGCTTTCCTACCGAGCCCACAAGTGTGGGTGAGTGGGCCATCGGCCCGGGAAGCTTGAGGCGCTTCCCACGCCCAGGAGAGAGAGATACACCATATGACCAAATTCTCTCTCTCTCTCTCGCTCTCTTCCCTGTCCTTCTCGTTGTCTGTCGTTCTCTCTTGCTCTTCCTCCCGTTCGCTGGCGCTGCTCGACTCACCCATTACGTACTCAGGTCACACTCTCACTCCAAGACATGCAAATATGATGAACTGCGGAAGGGAGACAAAGACAAGAATTGCATTCGAAGCATCTGTAAAGCACGCGCTCCATTGCCAATGCGCTTCGCCGACCAAGAAGATACAAGCACAGCACCGGGCAACAAATCTAGTGGTCCGTCACAGATCAGGGAATCTGACTCACGTATGCCGGCACCAAGGTGAACTTCCTGGCGGTGGCCAGATCCGTGCAAACAACGCCACAGACATGGAACGTGCGCCTGCTGCTGCGGACGACTTCTGTTTGTTGCTTTGGCACAGGCTGCTCCAGTTCGCACTGGCAGATTCATGCTTGAATTTTGCTTCGTTGTATTTGAACTGTGTAACATGTTGTTGTTTGAGTTTCGACTTTGGCTCGAGTCGACCGAATCGGTGCCAGTCCCCAACAGAGATTACGCCTGCATGGGTTGCGGAGCCAGCACCGCTACTTTGCCCGCAACCCCGGGATCAAGTCGGCCGCAGCGTGACTTCCACAGCCTGCGTGTCATGCACGAAGTCGTACCGACGCGCGCATGGGAGCAAGATCCCGCCGATTGCAAGATGAAGCATTTGTCCGCCAGCCGTGACCAGCAACTCACTGCTACTGCTAATGTTAATGTGAGCACAGGCACAGGTGCAGACTCCTGCAGAGCGGATGCAGCTGATGAGAGCCAACGAATTCTGTCCTCCTGGGACTCGGCAGCTTGGGGCGATGGGGCACCCAGAAACGTTCCCTTGCCTCCAGACCGTCGTTTGCACGAGAAGCACATGAAACACTTCCAGAGCTTCCTCCAAGAGGTTCGCAGGTCTCCGAGGGTCTTTGTCAAGGTTGTTCGCACAAAGCGCACTGGGACGCCGAAGCTCTCCCAATAGGACCGCAGTGACCAGGATCCTCTCCTGCCGTGGGGATATTCCACAGCTAGTTGCGCTCCGCTGATTTTTTTAGGAATCTGACCCCAGGAAAGGGGTCTCCAGATTTGAGAAGCCAGGGCAACACAGTCATCACCTTGCCTCAAAGAGAGATTGCAACGGTGTAGCTAGTAAATATATGTGTAAATGCTTTGCAGCGCAAAGGCTCGGTGAAGTGATGGCGCTGTTACTTGTTCTCTGGCTGAAGATAGTGATGAATCACTCGCTGATCGGCGAGTCGATTTTTGGACTTCTGTAGTCGGCTGCAGAACTACATTTTTCGGGCTTTAGTATTCCTTCACATGATATTCCTGGTCCGTCGACAGCGTTGCTCTAGCAGCACCAAGTCGACATGTCATGTTGAGGTAAACAGTTGTACAGCGCCTCCGCTATGAACGGTGTCAGTGGCTTCTGCCCAAAAACAGGTCAGCATAGCCGCGGTTGCATGATTCGGTGCTGCGCATTTGCGCTCAGCAAGCGTAGATGCCAGTAGCATCCATGTTTCAAGAGATTAGCTGGCTTCAGCCATCGACAGGTCTACTCCACACCGCTCGTTTGGGTGCAAACCCGCCCTTGACCTCCTTGTGTCATCCAAGTTTAAACTGAAGTACCAACGAGTTTGCACGCATTCTTGCGTGGCGTTGATTCGTGGACCTTTTTTGGTGGCGCCTGCAAGTGGTCCAGGCAGATTGGACAAGCGGGCAAATCGAAGATTGAGGGCCAAGCGCAGCTTCAGATGTCCCGAATGGCACCAGCTTGACAAAGGTCACTGGTGTTGAGCTCGGCTAAGGCCGACAGGTGTTTGAAGGGAGGTAGTGTCCTCCGGCAGAGTTTCATGGCCTTCGGCCAGCTTGGAGCTTGCCTGTTGCTGAGTAAGCCTATTGTAGCAAGACTTGTCATGTACAATGAGGCAAGTGCCCCGCTCCGCGTCTTTTCCATGGGCAGGACCAGGAAGGACACGGACTAGCAACGACGCAAAGCTGTCACCGGGACAGGTGTGGTGGCATCATGCGCTCACAAGCCACTGTTGATGTGTCTGAAAGACCTTGATATCACAGGCTTTCCACACGAAGTTCAGAAAAATGTCAAGATCCACCGCACCCGGGCAGTCCAGCTACTTTGAGTTAGTCGCATTGATGTAGTGACCTACTGCGACCCACTCGAAGGTTGCTGACCAGAAGTCAGGCACATGCGCAAAGAGAAAAGCCATCGTGATGGGCCTTGCTTGAAGGTTAGTTGCCGAGAGCTGCTTCACTGCCGCGCCAGGAAGCAGGAGACGCAGCAAGCCAAGCTGTGCAGCAATCCCTCCAAGAGCTGCTCACCCAGCTTGTAATACATCTAAAGCCTAAAGCGGTTTCAGTCTTCGGTTTCAGTCTTGAGCAGCTCGTTGTAGCCTGCACGTGGAATCGCCGGTACTCGGAGTGTGTGACATGCGATAATTCGGTTACTCTTGGATCGACTTACTCGCTGCGTAAGAAATCTGAGCGAATGTAATTGAGTTGCATGCAGAAAAGACTGGCCCAAGACAAAATCTCGTCGCTCGCACTTCGCACGACTCCTCGCCTCGCCTTCCAAAGGTCACCACTGGCAATCGCAACTCCTCCAGCAGCCGAACTAGTAAGTAACTTGTGACGGCCTGTGTCGTTGAAGCTCGGGTACCGAGACTTGCGAGTAGGACGACCATGGATGGTGACTTGGCCGACCCGGCCTGCCTCCGTCTCATCCCCACACACACACACACACCTCTTGCCTTTTCGTGGGGCACGATCCACCCGCACCTCCAACCTGGCACGCACAAGTGGCTGAGCAGTCGGTACCCAGTCGCCGAAAGTCATGTGAGGCCTCATGCTTTGGCCGATTGTTCAGGCTCGCTCTATCACAACAGTGGCAGATCCCATAAAGGCACCATGATGCGTGGCAGGATTGTTATTGCGGCCATAGCGATGCATGCGAGTACTACAATTTCTCCTACTACTCCTAAACCCTAAACTCCCCATCTGTAGTTTCCTTTAACTATAGCCTGGATTCTCCGGTCGAGGTATGAAGACCTGTAGCCTCCCCAACCCCGGCAGCCCTAAACCCGCAACCAGAACCTTTTGTAACGCAAAACAGTTTATGGGTTTAGGGGGGTTTCAGGTTTAGGGGTTTAGGTTTCAGGGTTTAGGGTTTGGGTTTAGGGGTTTAGGCGTGACTCGTCATCATTGTTCGTCGGCGTCGTCGCCATAGTAGAAGTGGTATTGGTAGCAGTAGCTGTAGTAATGGCTGCTATCAGCACGGCCTGTGTTTGAGCCTCTCACCTACCCCTTAGCCCCAAGGCTGGCGTCTATGGGTGGCGACATGGGTATTGTGGCTCAGGCTCAGTTTAGGCACATGCATGTGGCGTGTTGAGTGAAGTGCTCCAGCAGGACGCAGCCTATCAGCTTCAAGTCGTTGAGAATGCCGTGCAGGCAGAAGGGGTCCGGAAACTCATGCAGCGCTGGGATTTCTCCCAAAGCTGCACTAATTGCCACCGCCAGGCCGCAAAGCAGCAAGCCGTGCCTGCACAGGAGTCGGCCCCAGTTCTTCCAAGCTGCGAACGGTCACTGCAAGTACTCTAGTCCTGGTCCCTACTCGCCCACCTCATTCGCACATGCAGCAGGTACACCACACGGTGGCAGTGCCTACGGCAACAGCTACGGCAACAGCACAGGCAATGCTGTGGGTGAGCGAATGCTATCGAACATGGTTTGACTCATGTCGAGTGCTTGTGAGCGAGATAGGCAGACGTCGCAGTCCACGCGCAGCAGAAGAAGCAGCAGCAGCAGGCGGCTTCAACTGTTCATGCAAGCTCTAGCTGGCTGCTGCTATACACCGCACTTGCTCACTCTTGTTCAGCGAGCCCTGACAGAGACTCCTGCACGGGACACTGCCTGGTATCGAACTCCTTGTCTTCAGCATGCTGAGCTCGAGCTTTCATCTGTCGTCCCTCTTTTGTTTCAACATTCCTGTCCAACATTCCTGTCTCAACTCGAAGACATCATCCGAAACATTGAGACAATACTCAGCTAGAATAGCATCGGATATTCTCGACTTGTCTCGATGCGCTGGGGCTGGTAATCGCTGTAACATACTTTAGGCAGAAGGAAAGCTAGTGCAGATTAAGGTGTTTTGTCGCTCAAGCGTCAGGAGTGTGAGTGTGCCAACCCTTGCATGGCACCGAATTCAGTGAAGAACGGGCTAGCACAAATCCAGCAGCAGTATGCTCCGCAGGCTGCGGCGTTTCTTCTGGGCGGCGTGGCCCCAGAAACGGTGCAGGTGACGGCACCCAGCCGGAATTGTGCTGAGACTGTGACGGACATACTGTGAGTCTCGTATACAATGTTTGCTACAGGTGCTGAGGCAAAGAAGTTGCCTCTGACGGGAGTACATCTGAAAGACAGATCAACGTCGCCAGGTGCACGTCTTGAAAGATCCCGAAATGCCGCAGCTTGGCAGTGATTGTGAGTGCTCTGACCACGGGCTTTGCAGGAGCTGGAAAGTTCCGGATTCGCATACGGCGGCTAGAGCAACACGAACTTAAACAGCCTTTCAGTGTTCTAGTTCTACGTCCGCGACATGGCCATCCCCCCCTCACACGCCAAAACCAAGCCTGGACTGTCTTGCAGAGCTTCCTCAAGAATCCAGTGTCACGAAGCCAAGACTGAAACAGTGGCGAACTGTTACGAACAGTGCTTCTCCAAGACAATTTATTCAACGAAACTTGCAAGTCCGGCTACAGCAAGGCTGAGCGTCATGGTTCCTGACTGACTTATTGCAAGCAGTCGATCCTTCTGAGCCTGCACAGGCCCATGGCCCTGGTCACTTCAGGGGAGGCGAGCCAAGATCTGAATTCAATGGCCTCTTGCCTGCAGCTAGTGACCTCAGTGGTTGATGCTGCGGCTCGTCTATGCTATGCCGATTTGCCAACATGTTGCAGTGATAAATGAACGAGTATGGTGTTGTTGGTGGTGGTGATCGTGACGGTGACCGTGATGGTGGCGGGGATGAACATGGCAATGAGGATGACTTCTACACAAGCCAGGGAAGCTGTAGATGTTGTTGTTGTAGAGATGGAACATGCAGCTGTATCCACTCAGCTCGAACAGACAACAGACACAATGCCGCGACATCCTGACATCACTAAGTCTACGAATGGCCGTGGTAAGATCAGCCGATGCTTTGATGAATACCTCGCCAGTGTCCCGCACAAGTATGCAGGATGAGACTGAACAACGACATGCAATTCTGGCAGCTGCGAAAGCCGTCGAGGCCCGAATGGACTGTTTGTAGGCAGGTGCTGCGATTGTGGCCAAAAGCCAGATCTGGTATTGAGATGTGATTACAACTTATTCGACACGCTATGCGCAGGTATGCCATATACAGAGCTGGCCATCAGGTCGCCAAGCATTGTAAAGAGTCTGATCATGAACGGAGGCATCTGTCACGCCATCATCGTCTTCCACCTCCTTGGCCAACCCTCCAGCACCGCCCTCGCTATTCTTCGCTGACTCGAACAGAGCCTCACAGGATGGTCTGTGCCAGCAGGGCTCTTTGCATGCGACATGTTCTCAGGCCTTCGCCAGCACCAGCTGCCCTCCTTCTCAGGCATAGGGATGCTCTAAGATTCTGTGGAGCAGGCCGTCGAGCGAACCCGAAGTGACGAGATGCGACCAGGCCTTTTTGTTCTCATCGTCCAGCGAGCAGTCCTTGCAGGCGCGAACATGGCATCTTGCCTCTTGACCATGACGTAAGCGGGTGAGCACAATTCCTGTTTTCTTCGCCCATCCACGCATCCATCTCGTGGTACTCATAGGGCAAACTCGACTCCAGGCGGGGATCAGTCAGGAGCTTGCTCCCGCGTCAGCGCCACACAAGGCGCTTCAAGCATTGGACTGTAGGACTTCAGCCCGCAGTGCCATGCCATGCCATGCACTGTCCTGTGAATCTGCGGTTGTCCTGTGATTTTCAGTGCCCCATAGCAACCGTGGCCGGCCTGGCGGCCTCGTAGGTCCCGACAGAATCGATGCCACCGCTGGTCACACGCTAAGCTGCCAGACGCACAACACCACAACGCGCACTGTTCCTGCATCTTTTTCGTCAGAGACGCGGGGTCATGGGCATTGACTTTCAGCTGTTGAGCCTTCCCCAAAACGCAGCCTGCGCTACAACATGCAATGCTCTCTAGATATGCTAGCAGAATGTGTCGGCATCGCACTCCTAAGCCCTGAACGCAGCCTACAATCTCTTTGAGGATGAACTGGAACGCGGGGGCGGCCATTCAGCACCGAACGTTGTCGAGGCCAAATCAACGTTGGTCCTCGCTGCAAGCATGCATGGTCAGAAGTTGCGGTAAAGATAAACGGGCATTGTCACTTTACGCAGAGGCTGGCGTCGCGGCATCTGCAGCCGACCCTCCAGTGCCATCCTGAGAATGCACTCGCACGGAAAGTTCTTGGTTCATGTCGAAGCCCCACTTTGTAGCAGTCCTTTCCTCTCGCTGAGCCATCCGTATCATCATGAAACTGGAATGGTTTCGAAGGCCCTTGCCAGCACCAGCGGCCCGCCTTCACAGGCACTTCTTGCAAAATTCTGCACGAGCTTTCGGCATCCCAAAGCAGCATGTAGCCGTCCTTGTGGCATACTTGCACCAAATTATCGTTGGCTTGTTCTGTTGCCTGTGCTTTTGAGATGCACGTGGGCCAGCTGGTCGCATGTCAGGCCAAGACTGCATCGAGCAAGCAGCCGTTCCAGGCACAGCTTTCATGGATATGCCAGATGCAGCCCATGGCACAAACAGTAATTGTAAACGCTTTGCGTCATCCGCCTCGGCCCGGCTGCAAGCCGAAAACGAAGCGCGGGCGAAGGGGGAGGGTTGAGGGGAGGTTTCGTGCGGGGGAGGGGGGGGGGTCAGGTGGGCCAGGATAAGGAGGGGTGGGTCATTGAGGAGGACGACGAGGAGGATGAGGGGAAACCGTGGATTGCTGTGGGAACCTCTGAGCGCTTCGGCAGGGTGCCCTGCGGCGAATTAGTCGTTCGCCTACTCCAGGCAGGCATCAGCCATGGTCGAGGGGAGCTGGCTCCCGCAGCGGAGCATGCCCAGCACAAGGCATTGCACAAAGCCGGTTCTGAAGAAAGAGGAATGCTCGAAGCAGTTTGCGCAGTGAAGAGGGGAGCCAGCACGCTGGCACTTGGGACTGACATAGAGCATTCTTATCCGATCAAGCCACGCGGCTGAAAGAGCGGCAAAATATGCAAGTTGTCAATCTTTGTCAACTGTCTAACAAGAACTGACTACTCCATTGAGCATGCCAGCTTGAAGAGTCCACCCACCACTGCTGCGAGTGAGTGCCGAGTGGTTGACATTGATGTGTAGGTGCAGTTGCCTTCGATGAAGCCAGTGGCCGGCTTCTGAGAGGGCTAGAGTCGCACGGCACTGGCCTTTATACATATGGGGTCAAGTGTACATCGATAAGGGGCGAACGAGTCTAGCAAGAACGATCCAAATCACAGCTTGCCCGGGAGCCTGGTGCCAGTAAAGGTGCCATCGTCCATACACATGCACGGCACCGTCAATTACTAATTTTCCGCTTGCAAAACTCGGGCGATGAAACTAGGTTAGCTAACAACTGGACTCTCGGGTTCTGCAACTGCCCGCATGGCAAAATCCAGCAGATCTCTGATTGCAGAGTTCTGTGGTCTAGGCATCTAAGCTCTACAGAGGCCTCAAGCCCTATTCTCTTGTGTCCAACAGCGGAGTCTCGGCAGCTGGCAAGTTCGCATAGAGCACCAGTACAATTCCAATCTCAGGAGGGCTCCTCGCCGAGACCTACTGATCAAGGACGACATGTTCGGGGTTGGGCTGGTGTTCGAAACCTCCCGTTGGGTGTATCAGCTGCTGTCTGACTCCGAACCAGGCGTCGGTTTCAGTGCGGTTTCGCGCGCAACCTAAGTTTTATCAAAGCACAGGGACCGTGTCCGTCTACATGTGGTGGAGCTGTAACTTTGCAGGACCAACTGCCGTGGCCGCAGAACCTCTTCGCAATGTGGTTCCGCGGCGAAAGTCCTCCGTGGAGGTGCCTTCTGCCTTCGCCTTGTGTCGCCTCGGCCAAGCGGTCGCTGCTTCACGCAAGCATGGCAGGACTTGGCCAGGGATCTTGGCCTCGGTGCACAGACAGATAATCGGCTCGGCATTGAGACGAAGCCGCCTCTTCGCCGTCCGGTCAACTGCTCAGAAATCAGAGGAAACAGCATAGAAAGAGGTGTCTTCTCGTTGCGTTTACAATTGTTTGGCTTTCCAAGTCTGGCACACCTTCCCGGCCCAAGAAAGCCAAGCACTCCACCTCGCGACGGCTGCTACATTTGAAATCCTCTGGCGGCCGCCATGCTGGCAGAGTTGCAGGGTTGGTTTGGTCGGAGTGCCGCGAGCTGACAATCACCTAGCTCTTCGAAGCACCGGGCCGCGGCTGATGACGGATAAACGTTTCCGCCTGTGACTATCAAAACGTATGTGTGAGGAGTTTTGGCCAGCACAGCGCCACACACTTGCAAAAAGGAACGTCATGATCATGTATGATCATGCACGTTGACGAGCCATGATACATATGAACTTGAAGGGCTGAGGTAGCGGTGAATTTCCACAAGTTATGATCTGTGCTCCGTGCGAATCTAGACCTGTTACAGACCTTGTTCCGTGGATTGTTAGAGCTCTGGCTGACTTGACGGACTGTGCCAGGCTCAGAAGAAGCCCGAGCCTTAGGCGGGCAGAAGTCCCGAGCCTTTACATTTCGTGAAGTATCCAGCTGGGATGCGACGTGCAAGCACTCGAAGTAATTGATTGCACAGCATGAGGCAGGGCCCGGCGACACATGCGCAATACTGGTACCAAGGCCATCACCTTGGAATTGGGTGACGTCGCTGAAGAGCTGGAGCTCGAGTCCAAAATGCTGCTCGGCCTACGGTATCATAAAGACCGGGAAATCTGGTGGTACGAGCAGCAATGCAAGCAAAACAGCACCAACACTATAGTTTGCAAGGCTTTACCACCAACTGCCAATCTTTGAAGCAACACATCGGCATGAAAAACGAAGCTCGACCAAACCCCAAGCCCTTTCCCCCACCTGGACGGCCTGGACCCCGCAGACCGACAGACCCTACCTTCGGGACGGTCGCTGTCTTCATGGGCTATATGCTCAAAGAGCAGTTTCCGTGTGGCCCAGGTAATCGGTAGCCCCAACACGGCACGCATAATCCCCAAGCCTAACGTACTACTAAGTCCCTTGATCCTTCGAGCAGTATCGAAACCCCAAACCCTGCTCCATGGCCAATCGCTGCCACGGACAAAGTCACTGTGAGGCTCCCTGGCGCACCCAACTTTGCATGCACAGGTTAGCCAAGCACATGGCCGTGTCCATTGGCAAGGCCTGGAAGTTTGCCTTGCGCCGGTGGGGGAAGAAGCTCGGATCCCGAAACCACCAAAAAACCCTAAAAACATTACCGAAACCACTTTACGACCCATATCACTTCTGAAAATCCTGTAAAACTCGTAAAGCAGTGTAAAACCCTAAAGGCCCTAAAGCCCGCAATGGTCGTTCTGGCGCAGGCTGCCGGCCTAGGTCACCAAAGCCCGCACGAAGCGGCCCTGACAGCTGCTGCCTCCGTTCACAAGGCAATGATCGAGAAGGCAGAAGAAGGGTGATGATGAGGCTTTTTAGGGCTTCAGGGTAATGTCCGATAGTAGTATGGTTTAGTATGGTTTAGTGGTCTTCCGACGTTGGGGTCGTGCTCCACATCCCCAGGGCGTGACGGAAGAGGAGGCTGTGGAATTTGCCTCGTTTTGCTCCGGGCTGGCGGCTGCCGAGGACGGGGCCTGCTTTGCAGCGGCTCTATGCACGAACACATCGGCTGTTTGCCAAGTTGCCTAAACGCAAGTCTACTGATGCTACTCGCAGGCTGCGATGGTGCAAGGGACGACGCCGGAAGTTGCTGCCTCCATTGCCTTGACCTCAACTCAACAGCTTAAGAAGATTCACCCGCAAAATAGATCTTTCCGATAAGCCTGAAGATTGCGCCCAAGCAACTTTTCCTACTGGTAGCGACGCGAAAGGACACGGACCCCTGTCCCAGGCTGCCGCTGAAGCTCAAAGAGCCGCACTAGCTGGCCTCTGAGTGAGAGGATGCCTGCAGCGCCGCAGCGGAATGCATCCCTTCCATGCGACGTGCAGAGTCAGGTTGCCGGCTGCCCTACCGACTTGTCTCTTCAGTGTGGAGCCCTGGCCATTGGCGCAGTGGTCGCCAAGCTGGCAGCCGGTGGCTAAGCCTCCAAGGAAAGCTGCAGGAATTTGTAGGTCAGGCCGACGGCTCGACTCGATCCATTTCTCTCGATCCCGATGCACTCGCTCTATCTTCTCTGCGCATAGTGGCATAGTTGAAGCCGTGCAGCCGCCCTAGGCACAAAGGAGCTGGAATCACAGCGATGCAGCAACTATGGCTGGGCAATTCCTCAGAAGATTCGTCGCCCCTCGGCCTGAACAAAGTGATCAGCTCATATACCTGCAACCCCCATGATCCCCGATGCGCTAAATGAGTCTCTGGTTCGTTCGTAGAGTGAGATCCGCTTTGGTGCGTTTCTGTGCGTGTGTATGAAGCAACTACTCAGATGCAGCGAGTAGCCAAGTAACCAATCAAGTCACGTGACACAAAGGAACGCAACATACGAGTGCTGCGATGCCCAGGATGCAAACACCATTGCAAGCGACCACTTTGTCGCAATGACAGCGATGGCGACACACGAGGCCGAAAGAAATCGCGGCATCAAGCATCTAACGCAGACTTTGTTGCTGGTGACCGTGGCTTTAATCAATCTTCCGACACAGTGTGAGGCTAGGGTCCGACCTTAACCCCACACAGGGCATGCTGCACGTCGGACCTCATTGATGAACCCAGAGATGTCATGAATGCTGAATCCTCTAATTTCCTTGTTACTCAGGGTGCGTCTCAACCGTAACTTCCTTCGAGAGCTTGAACTTTCTGACGCCTCCAGTCCCTGAGAACCGCCACACCATACAAATGTGGCAAGAAACTCCCTCATCACCTGACCCAGCACTCGCAGGCTGCAGAAGCCGTGGCCCTCGCCAACGGCTTTGCACCCCGGCGTGCAGCGGAGATTGGCGCTGAAGAGGCGACGAGCAAATCCTGTAAGACGGTTTCGCTATCTGGTCAGACAGCTTACCAAAACGACCTGTTGGGTATTTCAGCCCACTGGTGTGGCGATGCTGCGGCTGGGCTTGTGACCCGGGGAAGGGCCGCAGGCGAGCCAAGGTTTGGTATGTCAAGTCGGTTGATGCTGCCAAGTTTACATGGAAAGTAGAAGCGTGCCAACTTTGCTGCCAGGCTTCGAGGATGACCTCGCAGCTCGTACACGCCAAAATCCGTGGCGTCGCCGACGATGCACTGCGAAACTTGAGCGCAGGCTTGGGCCTGAAATGCTGGTTTGACACGACTGCGCCCAGATTGGCAGGAACTGATGCCACGAGCACCTCCGAGGCGTCGTCGATGTCCAAAGCATCCTTGCCGCACACAGGGTCGAGGATTGCGCAGCAATTCCTCGCATGGACGTTACTGGTAGCAGGTAGGAAAGCGTGTAGCAAACATGCTATCCACATCCAAGCACTTGGCATTTGAGCCCGCATGTTATGTTCGACACTTAGGCGGTCTCGGGCTTCTCTGCAATTCAAGCTCGCCCATCCGATCGAGAGCCAGATGGAATGTCTTCACGGCAAGGCAGCTGGTCTGGCCGACAGCATGGGCTTCCATCCATGCGGCATTCGGCATTTCTGAGAGTAGCTGCATGCGCACGAAGCCTGATGGCTGCCGCAGGCAGCGCCGGCACACAGGCTCAGAATGCCTCCAAGCCTGGCTTGACGGAGCTCAGCAGGCACAGGGTGCGACAGCTTCTGCAACGGTGTACTCATGCTTTGCACAGGAGGCCCCTGCCCGTCAGTGCCCGCCGAGCAGAAGGTGATGCCGCACTGCCGGCAGCATCGCCACGGGAGGCCTGCAACCCCTTATCACGACATCATAGTTTCAAGGAGTCTCAAGCACTGTTCGGCTTTTAGAATGAGACACACATAGACTAGACTACAGTCGGAAGACGAGCCTGCCAGGCTAATGAATCGGTACGGCTTTGCACATCAATGCGAACGTTTGGCACATTGCTCGCGTGGGCTCGGATCCCACGCCAGGATCGAGCTGCAGCACGACCCAGTGGGTCATATCGCCCACTGGGCCACAGTTCCTAAAAACTTTCGAGACTACCCTGCGAGCAGCCGGCCTTTGAGGGTCCGGCAGCTGCAGTGGCAAGTGTCGGTGAAGCAAACGAAATGCATCGTGGGATCTGCGAAGGCACAGCCAGCCGGGCGAAACCGGGCCGGTACACCAACCGTCAAGCTAAGCGCAGCAATTCACTCAGGACACTCGCAAGTTGCCTAAAAAAGCGCAAGGAAGTCCTGACTTGGTCCTGTTTCCTCTCGCCCAAGCTCGAGGCCAAAATTCCAAAACCTGAGCCTGCCGTCATGATTTCTACTAAAATCCCCTGACATCGCACATGCACAGTCACTAGCATCACGTCCCTTCGCTGCTCACAAGCTGTCGCGTCCTTCAACTCTGACCGCTTAGAAAGAAAGCAATGGCTTGGAATCTGCAGTCAATCTGAGCCGCCGGCGTGAAACAGTCCGCCTCGCTCACAGGAGCAGCAGCTGCAGCCGCCGCAGAAGAGGCCACAAAGGATGTCCATTGCAGATTTGACACTTCCGGCCTCTTGGCAGCAACAGCAAGAAAACGTGCAATCTGCCTTTGCGGCTCAACGTTTTAGCACATCACCTGCCGCAAATGTTGCTTCACCGAGGCCTTGCCTTCTGCTCGCCGGATGTCCCAGGCGGGAATCTGACAAACTTGTTGTTTGATGCTTGAGCGTTTGACACCCGTGACATAGCTGCTACAAGTCGGATGGTTGACCTTGATGCTGGCTCCGGTGCGCAAAGCTTACTGCCAGGCACCGACGGCCGCTGAGTCGCCATGGCCTGAACACAAGGTTGATATCGGTGTGTGTTTTTTCACAAGGCGGTCAGCCGTCTAGCACACCAGGTACTTGTAGCATAGCGGAGCTTCGGAAGACTGTAGAACTAAGGTAAAGCTCAGATCCTGAATTGATTTGCTGTGCGGCCCAAGGACCGCGACCGTGTCGTCAGTGGTGCCCAATGAAAAGTATCCGGAGACCTCCCGGATCCTCTCATATGGACAACATGATGCGAGGCCGTCGCACTGGTTCAATGCATAGGGCGAGGAGTGAACTCCTCTAACAGCCAGAAGAAGCTGCCAGTTCTAAAGGAGATTCAATTTCATTGTTTCTAATTGTGTTGCCATGATGAAGTCTCGGTGTTCCCTTCGGACGCATACAGCCAGGAAAAGAGATCACTCGAGGAACTCGAGGAGCCCATCTCCAGCAACTCGGCATTGACAGACACTCTGCATTGCTCCTTCCAAGCACTGCTTACAAGTAGAAGTCCTTTCATTAGTATTGTGTAAGCTGCGAACAGTCCGCTAAGCAGTCACCGCACGTGTTCACCAAGCTTTGCAGGATGTGCAGCCCGTCGAATCAGGCAGCTCAGCTTACATCAAATGCCGGCCTTAGATTTCCCGTATCGTGCGAGCTGCAGGCAGAGAGCGAAAGGCCTCTGCGCGGTTGCTGCAGGATCGGGTCGCGGTACTAGATGCCAGGGCCATCGTAACGAGACTGACTATTGCGCAACAGCTGACCAGCCTGATGCTGCTTGCCAGGAGTTCCGCAGGCCGTCGATGCTCTCGATGCAGGCCCGCCACATGTAGAATTCGCATTATAAGGGAGCCTCTGGGCTTCAAGCAGTCAAGGCACAGATGAGACATAGTAAGACCGCTCAGAAACGCAGTGAGGCGCAGGCATCTCGACTACACGGCAGACTGCGCTCTCGTAAGTCTCCATAGTATAGAGAAGGGGTCCTTACTAGCTGTGCACCAAAGATCCACGAGGGCCAGGAGATGCCAGGAGGCGGAGGAAAAGGAGCACTGCAAGTAAGTGAAGAAATACATGGCATGTTGTATTGCAGGTAGTTCTGTTCCCCCGTTGCACTTCCCCATGTCATGCGTCGCTGGATGGTGCAACGCCACAGCCTCACGCACACCATGTTCAACTCCAAAAACGCACAACAACTGTCGCCCCTCTCGGGACTGTGGGTTTGGGGTGTGCTGACATGCCTGGCGGGTGGCGGAAAGATTTGCTCCGCGGGTCTTCGCCGGTTGAAGTCTTCGCTGAGAATCTGTTATGGGAATTCTCTACCAGACCACATCTCAGAAAGCCTCGTGATTGTTTCCTGTGCGTATGTCACGGCCGAAGGAATTTGCTGCTTCCACTCTTGTGTCCGAAATTTCGCTATCCCCTAAGCCCGATACCCTAAACCTATCGTTAGTAACAAAACGCAATCTCGCTGAGCCCTGCTGAGCCAGTCCTTCGAAGTTCCTCTACCGGCACCGTCCCGGGATCTCCCTGTGGGCCCGGTACACAGCAACCGCCCCAAGTTGTCAGGGCCCCGGTCACCGGTGGAGTGGACTTAGGGGTCCTTGATGGTCTTCTCGGGATTAAGATACCGGATTTGGGCACTTTGGATCTGCGGTTGGTGACTGCGAGTCTGCGTGCAGCTGTGGCTCCAAACTATGCACACTCAAGGTTCCTCTTTTGGACCTTGCGGACATGTGGAGGTCAAGGGAGAGAGCTATTTTCGAGCAGAAGGTGACAGGTGAACTTCAGTCAACAGCAGCTGCTATCTGTGTAATCCCGCTGTTGATGGAAAACTCCACAGTGTGACACCTCTACGACCACGGTAGGGCGAATGTCCATGCGTCATGTCAGGATATCAGGAGAGGAAATCGGTTCGTTGCAGTGGTTGCTAAAATCGACGGCGGCTTCATGACTTGGTTCCTGCAGCTTTGGGGCCAAATCATGCGTCCTGCAATGTGCTCTTGTGCGAAAGCCTTCCGTGTCACAGGGTCCCAGAGGATCACGCAGACCTTCAGAAGGAAGATGCGCCTTGTAAAACAAAGCTGCCCGGACCGACGCAAAGCCCTGAAGCTGGGGCCGAGGCAGGGTTGGCAGCGGATACAAAAGCAGGACGAGGCCACCGGGGGTGTGTCTTTGTTGTGGATTTCTTTGTTCGATTGACTTTGTGGGTCTGGGGCTACGTACGCTACGGCTTCGGGTTCTGGACTGCAGGTGCTCTCAGGATAAGTGGAACGCCAGTTTGTGATTTTGGAGTCGCTATCACGGTATGTGATCAGCAACACATTCACGAAGCCGCAAGCATGCACAGGGCTGCATGCCACCGGCTGTGGGCATGTCTGCTTATGTTGCAAATCTTAGTATGTAGCTAACTACTTGTGGCTAGCAGTGTCCCTGCACGTAAATCTTCGACCTTCCTATCTACACATCTACGAATAGATCCGTCTGGGTCTTTGTCAACAGGAGTCTACACTGTGCGTGAATTTGTGAGCTGTGCAACTATGGCGCTTAGCGCCGTATGCACAGGGGCATGCAGACTGGCATGCATGCATGCGTACAAGCGTACCTAGACCACACGCACTCGTAGTTTAAGACGAACCCCAACCTTTTGTAACAGTCGCAACTTTCGGGTCAAAGGAGTTTGAGAGTTCGAGATGACTCAGTGTCATTGGTGCGGTGTGGATCCCTGTGTCGAGCCTCGTATTATATCGGGTTGCTACAGCTGTGCAGTGTGCAGAGAGTTGGATCGGCTTCGGGGGATCTGCACTTTGATACCAACTGAGCATCATAGCAAGGTAGTCTCGGAACTCAGGCTCCTTAGCAGTAGGTTGCGCGAGTGGCAGAAGAACCGCTTCGGAGGTCCACACCTGGGTTACATTGAGCCTCCCTCTCAGCCCGAGTTGAGTCTTGCCCAAAGCATTAAGTTCGCCAAGGCCTCGTCCTCAAAGCCGCCTGAACCAAGTGGACCTCCTCCAAATCACCTTAGGGTAGATTCGAGCCATAGCGAG